TGGGTGGAGGATGGGTGGATGGATGAATGGATGGATGGAGGATGGGTGGATGGATGGGTGGGTGAGTGGGTGGGTGGATGGGGATGGATGGGTGGGTGGCTGGGGGATGGGTGGATGGATGGGTGAGTGGGTGGGTGGATGGATGGATAGATGTAGGGGTGCGTGGGTGAATGGATGGGTGGGTGTGTGAGTGGGTGGGTAGGTGGATGGATGGATGGATGGGTGAGTGGGTGGGTAGGTGGATGGATGGATGGATGGGTGAGTGTCTGGATGGATGGGTGGGTGGATGGATGGGTAAATGAGTGAGTAGGTGGAGGGGTGGATGGGTGGTAAAGGGATAGGTAGAGGGAGGGGGGAGGGAGGGAGGGGTGGATGATGGATGTGTGGGCATGGAGGATGGAGACCTCACCAGGAGGCCGAGCAGACTGCTGGCAGCCACCGTGCTGTGAGGGCCCTGCTGGACAGACTTGCTGTGCTCCCCAGGCCTCCCCACCTCCCGCTCAAGGCCACCCAGAGGCAGCAGGGTCACCATCCACCCCAAGGAGATCCGCACGTTCTTCATCCACTTCCGCCAGCAGTGAGCTTGGCCCTGCCGCTGGCCCAGGCGCTGGTGCTGGGAGAGCGGCGGGGTCTGGGGTCTGGGGGCTGCTTACGGAACTGGCCGGCGCACAGAGGGCCCTGTTAGTGCTTTCTTTTGTGATTTTTACAATAAAAAGGACAGTAGTGGTCCAGACTCCCTCCCCTGTGTGCGAGCCACGCCTCCCCCCTTCTCACCTGAGTGAGCCTCTCCTTTTTTCCTTTTTTTCCCCAGAAGTAGTGGTGCTTAAACCCAGGGCCTTCACATTGATCTGCATCCCCAGCCCTGTTTTATTCTTTTATTTTGAGACAAGCTCTCGTGACATTGCCCGGGCTGGGCTTGAATGCAAACTTCTCCCACATTGGTGTCCCAGAGTGCTGGGACGACATGCACCACCACACCTGACTCTTTGCTTCTTTTTTGGTTTTTAATATAGCCTGAACTCCTAAGCGCATTGTAGGAAACCAAAAACACCAAGAGTCAGGCATGGTGACACGTGCCTATAATCCCAGAACGCAGTAGGCTGAGGCAGGAGGAATGCCGCAAGTTAGAGGCTAACCGGGGCTCCAGAGTGAGTCCCTATCTCAGAAAAAAAAAAAAAAAGCAATAAAGTCACCCGCAGACACAAGCACTTAGAGGTTGGATGGGTCCTGAAATCTGTCACACCCCATATCCAACTTTATGTGTTCCAAATGGAGTGGTGAGCTAGGCGTGGTGGTACACACCTATAATCCCAGCACTCGGGAAGCTGAGGCAGGAGGATCGTTGTGAGTTCAAGACCAGCCTGGGCTACAAAGTGAGCTCAAGGCCAGCCTGAACTGCATAGCGAGACCCTGCCTCAAAAAGACAAAAAAAAGGGGCTGGGGATTTAGCTCAGCGGCAAAGCGCCTGCCTGGCAAGCGCAAGGTCGTGAGTTCGGTTCCCGGTACCGGAGAAAAACCAAAAAAAAAAAAAAAAAAAAAAAAAAAAGAGTGGTGGGCAGTATACTTTCTGCACATCAGGGACATCACACACTCTCCCAGTGCTGGGTGCACATTCTGATAACAAGAACACACTGTACTTGGGGACAAACATTTTGTAAAAGACATCTCCACTTGCACATGTGAACGGGAAGGTATATTCCCACTGAATTACTTCCCGTGTTCCGAAAGCTTAGGGGACATGCAGGTAGGGCTGGGGGGTGGCTCTGTGGTAGACACTTACCTAGCCTGCACAGGGCCCTGGGTACCAACCCCAGCACCCACCCCCCGAAAAGTAAATCTGAGCCAGGTGTGGTGGGAAATACCTACAAGCCCAGCAATCAGGAGGCTGAGGCAGGAGGATCCGCCACAGTTTGAGGCCACGCTGTGCTACATGGTGAGTTCAAGGCCAACCTGAACAATGTAGTGAGACCTTCTCTCAAAAAACATCTGCACGCATTCCTCCCTGTGGGCTTCCTCCCACCCTCTGCTGCTGCCTGATGAGCACATGCTGACTCGGTGCCCTGAGTGGTGAAACACCCACCACCCCATCCCCCACACCCACTCCCCATCCCCCCACACCCATCCCCACACCCACCCCCCATCCTCCCACACCCACACCCCCCCACATCCAAGCTGCGGTTTTTTCCATGACAAAAAGATCACAGCCCATTCACTAGCACTGCTTTTTATCACATTGTCATCTCAGGGCATCTGTAAAGTTTAGATGTTCCAAAATAATGAACTTTGGCCGGGTGTGGTGGCACACGCCTGTAATCCCAGCACTCAGGAGGCTGAGGCAGGAGGCTCACTGAGAGTTGGAGACCAGCCTGTGCTACTAAGTTAGCTCAAGACCAGCCTGAACTGCATAGAGACCCTGTCTCAAAAAGACCAAAAAAAAACCAAAATAATGAACTTTGTGTCAACAATCATATTTCATCAAAAAAGCACATGGAGACCTCTAGTGATCACAAAATTCAGGGGATGTTTCCATTTTTTTAGTTTTATTACAGTCATGGGCCAGGGATTTAGCTCAGTGGCACAAGCACCTGCCTAGCAAGCATAAGGTCCTGAGTTTGACTCCCGGTACCAAAAAAACAAGCAAATAAAAAAACATAATTAATTTTGGCCCAGTGTGGTGGCACATGCCTATAATCCCAGCACTCAAGAGGCTGAGGCTGTTTAGATGTTCCAAAATAAGGAGGATCCTTGTGAGTTCAAGGCCAGCCTGGGCTACAAAGTGAGCTCAAGGCCAACCTGAACCGCATAGTTAGACCCTGTCTCAAAAAGACCAAAAAAAAAAAAAAGGATGGAAATTTCTATTAAATAATCATTTCTATTAAATAATCATTTCTATTAAATAAATCATGATGCTGCTAGGTATGCTGGCACACACGTATAATCCCAGCACTTGGGAGGCTGAGGCAGGAAGATGGCCCTGAGTTTGAAGCCAGCCTGGGCTACATAGTGAGACCCTCAAAACATGATGCTAAGAAGAGTGAAAGTGTGACTGTTGGTGCCCCCAGAAGGGAAGACATTCACCTACACCACATCCGTGCCCATGGGCAGCTCAGCATCACAGAAGCCAGAAAGTGAAAGTAGCCAGAGTCTGTGGACAGTGGCACCCTGCACAGCTGTGGCACATCTGTCCTGTTGGGTTAAAACTCCTTTAAGTTTTTGTTATTGTGGGCTGATCGGGCCCACACTCTCCCAAGCAAGTGGACGGTGAGGGCCTAAATAGATGAGACAACTGAAATGATTTCAAGGCTCCGGGACGGTCTCACTCTCTTACAGCTTCTATATTCTCTGGGTTTAGACAAGACTTCTCTAGGCAGCCCGTATTTATTAGGTTTTCAAACAAAGGAGGATACTCAAGAAAACACAAGAATCTAGCAGGACCTTGGGAGAATTTTCCCAAGCAGTAAATTATGTCAGTCAGGAGAGCTGCCTTATCTTTAGGTTGGTATTTATTGTAGGCGTGTGGAGCCCGCAGCTGCAGTCTCCTTGCAGTTAAATGGGGTTGGAGCCAGACCTCATGGTCTTATCTTGTCCTTTGAGGCCTCACAGCTTCACAGGCCCATACAGGCCTCAGGGTGACCAGTGACTCACAGAGGTTTAATTACTGAGTCCACAGCCCATCTCCAGACAAGGGGCCTGGGCCTTGGGTAACTCACAAGGAAACACAGAAAGCCAATTGGTTAATATTAAATCCTGCTCAGAGCCACTTCATAGTGGTCTCCAGTGCTGTACCACGGAATGCTATTTGGCCATCAAAAGGAAGGGCATCCTATTGCCTGCCACAGCATGGGTATACCTTGAAGACAGCCAGGCCCCAAGGCCACCCATGTCCAGGACAGGCAGAGTTATGGGGACAGAGGATGATGTGATCTGTTGCTGGGCAGCAGAGAGAGGAGCGATGGCGCTGGGATGGCCTTCCCTTTGGGGATGATGAGACCATTTTGAAATCAGGTCATGAGATAAGAGGCCCACCAAACTGTGTGTGGTTTGTTTTTTTGTTTGTTTGGTTTTTGTTTGTTTGTTTGTTTGTTTTCCGGTACCAGGAACCAAACTCGTGACCTTGCGCTTGCCAGGCAGGTGCTGTGCCGCTGAGCTAAATCCCCAGCCCCAAAACTGTGTGCTTTAAAAGATGGACTTTATGGTATGCAAATTACATCTTGATTTTAAAGGTGTTTTAGACAGTAAATTGAGATGTGAGGAGATTATATGGCACCTGAGGACTGAAGCAGAGTTCATCCACCCAGGAAAGGGCAAACTTGGAAGCTGAGCTTGTCAGCATTTTGTTACTCTTAACAAATACCTGAGGTAAATCAATTTAATAAGAGAAAAGTGTGATGACAAAAATGGTGATTCAGCAATGGCTTCAGGACAAGAGTGGTTATGTGAAAAACAGAGAACTGTCAAAATCAAAATGGAAGGGTCAGGGACATAGCTCAGTGGCACAAGCACCCGCCTGGCAAGCACAAGGTCCTGAGTTCAATTCCCAGTACCAAAAAAAAGTTGAAAATCAAAATGGAGTCACCTGTGTCAACCCTACCAAAAGAAATACAGCCAACACCAGGCAAGAAGGCACACACCCATGTTCCCAGCACTTCAGGAGGCTGAGGCAGGAGAATCGAAAGTCAGAGCCCTGCCTAGATGACTTAGACCTTTTCAAAAATAAAAAATAGACTAGGGGTATAGCTCAGTGTGAAGGCCTTGGGTTCAATCCCCAGTACTACAAAAATACAACAGACATACATCACATCACCGTGGGAATGAAAATATAGAACTAAATGAAAAGGTAAAAGATGTGTGACACAGCTAAAGTCTGAAGGGAATAGAAGATCTTAAGTGCTGTGTGAGAAACAGAGGGCGGGCATGGGGAGGCAAGAGATTGGGGCGTGGTGGGCTGGCTGGGAAAGTGGGCGTGGCCTGGTGATCACACAGAGTCCCAGCACGTTCCACAGAACGCTTCCCAAAGCCCTGCATGTGTATGTATGACCCGGCCTTCTTCAACGCCTCTTGCAAAAACTCAAGCCCGTTGTCCGCCTGAGGAATGTGCATACGAAAGGAAGTCGCCGCTGAGGTCTTCCGCGGCGGCTGTGTTCTCTCACACACACCCACTCTCACGCTGTAGGGTGTACTTTCATCCTTCCTTGTACCTGCCCCAAACTCACTCTGCAGAGCCTGTTTTCTCCCCTACCTTTAATAAATGTAAAACCGTGATACCATTTGTGGTCATCCTGACCAGTTACTTGCAAAGGACAGAAAGAACCAAGAAATCACCTCTACAGGAGACTTGAGCACCCCAAAAGCCAGTAACAGTGGCAGACGCCTATAATCTTGGCACTTGAGAGGCTGAGGCAGGAGGACTGCCATGAATTCTAGGCCAGGAGCTGGTATGTGTTGTAGGGACTCCTTGGCTTCTCAGTGTACCAATGAGGGGGAGAAACTGGTGGCAATGTGAGAAAGACAAGAGACAAGAGCTGAGTCAGGTGGAGGCCCTTTACTTGATTGGTAAGAGGGCCTAGCAACAGTAGGGGCGTTTATTTATGTCTTCGCAAAATTAGTATCACAGGACACAAGGTTGCCTAGCGACTAATGACTGTAATTGTGCAGGCAGGA